ACACACACACACACACACACACACACACATATATATATATACATGAATTTTCAATTAGGATTATGTGCCGCAGATTTCAAAATTACGAATTGTTTACGTATAATCGTACGTGATGTTGACAGATGGTGAACACCTTTCTATACACCTGTAGAATATAAATGTAAACTATGTAAACTATTGTAAATTATATTATCGATATATAATATATCGATAATATTTACTTATTTATATATCAATAACAACAATGTTGTTTTCAACTTAATTTCGAACGATAGTCATAGATTATTTATCGTCTATATAAGATAACATCATATACATAGTTTGCATATTGTGTGCGTGTTGATTATGTACATTATTACATTAATTTACGTGTAGATATATAACCCAGTTTCCACTATACTTACGGTTGAGTTCATATGATAACGCTGGAAACGGAATTAATGTATTACCGATTTTTAGTTCCGTTTAGATAAGGAGCTTTTCTATCGGAATTCAACCGTCTCGTCAGCATCCCCTTAATAATTTCAAAATTCCAAAATTTAAATAATAATATTACAAATAACGTTATATCAAAAAAAAAACAGAAATTTATCTTTATTTTAACAGTGGTCTATAAATCAATACAGCACAAACTTTGCAGCTGTATCGCAGCAACATTGCTGCAATGTTATAATTTGTAGCCGTAATGTTGCTAAAATATAGTTGCAAGTTCTATGCTATATGGATAAATTAACAATAATGTAACATCATTGTTACAATTTTCCACTTCAACAATGTATTACATAATACACGTGTTACATTGCATTTGCATTGTGGAGTGAGAAATTATAATATTGATGTTACGTTACTGTCAGTATTCACTGGAAAACGGTTGTACTTGTTTTGTTTATTGTATCACTCTCCGAGCAGGAGATGTACAATAGCATGATTTTCCAGAGGCACAGTAATGGAAAGTGCACTTCTGCATCGAATTGAGAATTACACAGGATCCCTTAATTACGAACCATATGACACCGTAGCCCGTAGGAAGGATCTAACGAGCGCGGCCGAGTTGCGCACAATAAAACGAACTCCATGGCAACTCTGTCGTCGAATTTCATCCATCACGGCAGTTACACGCGCAAATTCTCTGCCCGAATAGAAACGATGAGAACGGACTGAAAAACACACGCGTGGAAATTTAACGGTGCACTTTCTATTAGGCGAAAGGAGATGTAGCAACGTTTTTAAAAATAATTTCCCACTGGGGCTCTAAGCGTGTCGTATTATCCGAAAAAAAGAAATAAATAAATATTCTGTTAGAGTTTCTCCTCTCTCGTCGCTAAAAATACATCAAATTCTTTCCCTTTGCGAAATAACGAGTATAAATATATTCTGTAGATTTCAGTATTATACCCGGGCGACATGTTCCGATCCGCTTCTAATCGAAAAAGCATGAATGGCACATATTAAGGCTTCGAAAACAGGTGGGTGGGTGAGTAACACCCGGTTAACAAATAGAGCCCAGGGATGTTAGAAATACGCAGATACGCGTAGAAATTACATTTTAATTTCGTCCCAACGCGTTTCAGAAAGTGAACTTTTTAAAATGGCGTTCCGATAAAAAAGTGAATATTCTCCTTATATATTGCGTATAGCGTTATGCGTGCGGCGAGAAAGCCTATTTTCTCTTCTTCATTTTCAGGACATATCGGAGTACAAGTGCGAAAATGGAAAAACGCCCACTTATGTTCCTCATAAGCCGGTGACTGGTGTGATAGGCGCCGCATTCAGCGTGGTCTCTATTATGGTCGCCAACATCTTGCGGCTCTTCAAGGTAATTATCCGTCACAGTCTATTTTGCGCGACGCGCTTTAAATCTTCACTTGTAGCGTCACTAAGTAAGTTTTTAACTTAATTAAATAACTTTTAAACTTTCTTCTGTTTTATTGAACAGATATTATAATATATGAGGATTACGTAAAGATTTTGCTATTTTTTTCCCTTATCGCTATACGCTGCGTTTCGTATTTACCTTTCATGAAACTTATTACGTTTTTTTATTACGCCAACATTTTTATCGTTTTTATTTTACGTCAATATTTTTATCGCATTTACAGCAAATCAGAAACTTATCTTGTACAAAGCTAAAAGTATAAAAAGAGAGAATGATTTTCTAAAGACGTGACATTTCGTTTACTCCTTTTGAACTTTACTTGCGTTATTCGACATGTTGTTATGCCACGTGCGTCCATCGGGATTGAGAAGCGAAAAATAGCCGATTCGAGAGGAGGCAGCTTTGTCGAAAGCACGATCGGATATCGGCAGGTCTTTGCAGGACGTGTGAAAACGTAGCTTCCTTTGATACAGAGGTTACAAAGGGCGAGTTTAGGAAAGAAAAAAAAGACAGAGAGAGAGAAAGAGAGAGAGAATGAGAGAAAAAGGGAGCAGAGGGCAATTTCGTGGGTTTTTTAAAAAATAGGATGGCACTGCCGAAACTTCGGGATCGGTAACGATGCCGGCTATCAACTATCAATCATAGTCATCCAACCGTGAGGATCAAGTCGGGAGAGCCACTCTCGCGGCAGCCAGTCCCGTTTCTTATCAGACTCGGATAAAACCCTCGCGCTCATAACGCCTTGGAAAAGACGTCGCGCAGCGAGACGGGCTCGCTGAAAGGAATTCGGTGATCCGCGCGAAATCGGCTTGCCAAAGAAGCTCCTCTACCGTTGTCGAGACGCATATCGATCCGCCGCCGTCGACGTTGAACGCGTGAATGGATTTCGCAAATGTCGCCGCTCCTGTCGAGATACGAAATACGATTACGTATCTCGCGGATTCCCGTGGATAATTCAATTTTGGGATTTATTCTTCGCGTTTTCCATTCCAACTTTCAGACACTGTAACTGTCTGCCTTTGCTATACACTGCGAATAATAATTAAACCGTTCGTATTGATCGATTTGCATCAGAGTGGAAGAATTTACGTATTTTTTTTTTTTTTTTTTTTTTTTTTTATTTAGAAACATAGTTTATTAGAACATTTTTTTACATGTTAATTCTCTCATATTCAAGCTTTAAAAGTTTGAAAATATCTCTTAGTTTTGTCCCATCCTATCGTACGACGAAATTAAAATTGATATGACGCGACAAGAATTTAGAGTTTTTTGAAACTAATTGTATACGCATATTAAATTTTCAAATTATATAAATCAATTAATTATATTAATGAAAGGACATCGGATAAGAAGATTTCAAATGTATCACTATATCCAAGCTGTATTGAGAACTACTGAGGATTTTATTGTACGTACACTTTTATCGCTCTTCTCATTATTTTATAACAACCCACTTGAGTTTCAAAACTACTTCCCTTTCTATTTATCGGTGGAAACCGAGTGCTCCTTTCAGTTCATTTTCTGCCGACATATTTTCACTGCGGATAAAGACGTCCGCGGCATATTTCCGCGATCCTTTCTGCTGGTTTACTACTCAGGAAACTTCGCATAAATGCAGAAGATAATTCTGAAAACGTGGTAATGGCTTCCTGATTTAACATACTATTATTAGACTCTTTGTGTAACCTAATCTAAAGTTTTACCTAACTTAAAGTTATTTAATGCAATAATTTAATATAATAAAGTTATTCTCCCATTTTCTTAAATAATTTATATCAAAATTATAACTCAACGGAACTTCAAAATGTAGTTTCAAATTTCAACATAAATGTTATATAAACGTATGAAAGTTTTTAAATTTTTATCACCTCAGATTTTAAATCATATAAACTGATTGAAATGATATCGTAATATTTCCTATAAATATAAAAACAAATTAATAAGCATTAAAAACGATATTAGTAACTCGCATTTAGTTTAATTTAAATTTTATATAAATCATCGATATCAATTTTATATAATGCATCAGGATCGCAACATCATCACTAATCGAACAAAGTTCGTAAAATATGTTACCATTATTACGTCATATTACAGCACTTTTGAATTTGTAAATTTTGTAATTACAGAACTTTGTAATTGATCACACACACACACACACACGCGCGCGCGCGCGCGCGCGCGACGAACATATATACACAGAGTTATAATAATGAAAAAACTTAACATGTTCAAACGCTAAGAAAATAGCCGTGTTATTTTACTCATTATTCAACTTGAGTTAATCTTCGCCACGTAGTAAGCCTTCGCACGTCGCATTCAATTTACATAGCAAACGTAACTCGTTCGTTAGGATTCCCGGTATGAAGCCGCTCGTTGCATTCGATGATTATGCGATGCTCTTCCTTTGTACGCCGCGAGACGCAATTAACCCTTTGTGCCTCGTGCATATTCGTATTACGTCAACTGTGTAGTAAAAAGCAAATTTGAAAGTCCGTCAATATAACGCGGAATAAAACAGGTTTAATCCGAATGAATTAGACGCTGACAAGTACACGGTTAACGATACTAATTATAATCATTCTTTCGTTCTACATGATAAAGAAAAAAAATGGTATTACAACTTTTAATCCTTTTTACGTAAATTTTAAAAATAGTTTTTTTTATTTGTAAAATTTTATTAATTTATTCTTATTATTTTCTTTATATTTTAATGTATTTTGATAGGGCACGAATTAAAAATTCTATGAAATTATTTTAGTAGTATTTAGACTTTCGAGATATTAGAATCTTGATATATATTAATTTGTTTTCTAATACCTTTAAATCTGAACGCGTAGACTTTCTCAATAATTTCATAAATTTTATCTGATATATTTATCTTTCCAATGTATTATTTCTTGACAAACAATATGAACCTTGGAACAATATGAACCTCTATTTCATCTTGTAAATATTTTTGCAAATTTCGCAATTGTTTATTTCGAATCAACGTTCCGTGTCGGCGTTGAGCAGTAAAAAGTAAAGCGACTAATTATCACATAGAAATTTATTTCATGAAATGCCCTATTTATTCGGCTGGCTGTCATTAATTTATTCATCTTGATTCTTTTTTTTTGCTGGGCAGCTTTAATTGTTCAAATCGATTCTGACGGCAAGCTGCGCATCGCGTCGCAAATCGCAATTACGCTCATTGGAATTGCAATGAGTCATTTATTGCATCACTTTGTCAAAAGTGTTGAAAGTCGCCCAGGAAAGGCGCGTTGTGATTAAAAATATTTTTATTTTGGGGAAATATTTTTGTAGTTAGGGAATATAGAGAGCAATGTTCCAAGAGAGAATCTGAAATTCATGTTGAGTATTTTGTACAGAAAATTAAATATGAAATTCTTCAAATATGAATTATTTATTAATAAAATTTTAAATCTTTAAAATTATTGAAACGCGATTATTGAAACTTCTTCCATCTTGACAAGGTAACAATTAATATCTCTATCTCTTCGCTGCTGTATAAAAAGTTCTTAATATTTTTTTTATTTATTGAATTTTAGATATCTGGTAGAATAGATCGAATCTTTGGAATGTAAATTAGATTATTTCTCACCAATGAAATTATTTAGGCGGATATGTGTGTTCTGAGTTTTGGCCGTGACACAGTTGCGACCGCAGTGCGGAGAGACGAAACGTTAATTGAGTCCAAAATCAATTAAACTCTAAATTGTATCCAGACGCGTGTGAATGAATAATTTACATAGAATTATGAGCCACGCACGTGTGCTTATTGATTTAGGTTTGAGCCCAACCGTAATAGACATATAATTAATCGTATCTTTATTAAAAGATATATATCATTCACTCACATCGTACGTGAAATCCATCATTCGGCGAATTCGCTTTTCTTAAAATGGAGATCGAATAAATAAGCAAAAACAGGCAGCTGATGATATTACGTGACTTGTGAGGTACGCGATAAAATCAACAAAAATTATGGAGAATATATTTGGACGGGTGAATGACAAAAGAAAAGCACATAAATGATATTTATTTCAACGCGCGGTTTGAGTTTCCATTTGCGGAAATTTGTCTCCATTATGGAAATTACAACGTCGTGCAAATGACGTACCAAATGGCTTACGAAACGAGACAGTGAGTGTATCGAGTAGAGATCTAATTGCTGCCGGTTGGTAATTAGGTATCGACAAACTGTAACGTCAAACTGTTTGTTGGCCTCCTAATTAAGAGATCCTAATTAGTAATCATATTTTTGCGAAACAGCTTATCAGATAAAAGTCGTCTCGCTGACTGACGCATAAATGCAATTTAGCATAAATGCAATCATTGGACTTTCTCAATCATACATATTTCTTGGAGAATACACACGATTATATATTAATTATATTTGTATAGCTTATATAAGCCGCAATTTGTTGTAAAAGTACAAATACGTTACAAATTACGAATAAAATATAAATTAATTATCATTATTAGCTCTAACAATCTAATAATTAAATTTACCTTCCAATAATAATTAATTTCAATAAATTGAAATCAATAATTAAATAAAAATATAATTCTCCTTTAATCACATACTATTTCTAGTTCGATGTATTTGCGACAGCACAATACGTCCCAGCTCCATATTGATCATCATATTCTTTCTCTCTCTGTCCACACGTTCCTTTTGTTGTGTGTCCACAATTTTCATAACGGCGACGTGTGATAAAGTTTTGATCGATCATTCGCAGGGCTCGTAATTTACGTCACATCAATAGATCTCGCAACGATACCCGTCGAAACAAATGGATGCAAATTAATCCGAGAAGCGATAATACAGCCGTCGCGTTCGCAGGCTA